AGCCAGCACCGTACTATTTGTGCCAGCGTCTTACACACTTTGCCATCATGGCTCCAAACTCTTTAAAGATGCATTATGTAATATTAGACCAAGAGCTGAGAGTTCTTGAAGTTATAGTTAAAAGAGAAAGATAATGAAAAAGGAATATGTTGAACATTTCAGTCAAATTACTTCATTCTGAGCTGAGTTTTGGCTGTTTGAAAAACAGTGTAGTCTTGATTGTCATTGCTACCATTGCTATGATAATAAACAAAGTCTCGATTATCTATTATTAACTGCGAATAGTGTTTAATAAATCTGTTGAATACCAAATCCATCGGATGGTCTATAGTGTTGATTGCATGGGCTTGTCATCTAAATCATTTAAATAACATTTGAGGTCATTTGAAAGATCTGCATAGTCAGATTTAACTCTTACATAATGCATCTTTAAGTAAACATGATTCTTGTCTTGTTGATGTTAAACCTCATTACCTTTGATGTATTGTTTTTCATATTTGTAATACCAGTACTCGTTTAAAAAAATGGAAAGCACATAGGGTGATTAACAAAAATAGAAACAGTAAGCTATTGAGAAGATGTTTTTTATTATAAGAAGATATATGTATTTTAAAGATGCCTTCCAGCGTACAAACTGTGTGATTTGATGATATTCTCAGGCTAAAAACACATTCAAACTTATTTAACTTTCAAAATTACTTAATGCCACAAGAATCTATTTTAAGCCACCTTGTTTGCCACATGACTTGATTAAGGGAGAATCCAGTTTAACTTGTCTTTGATGTTAGTCGCTGTTCATTTACAATAAAGCTAGAATATTTTCTTGGATTATCCTCTGCCAACTTCTTTAATCACAGATTCTACTAGATGTTTAATGCTCTCAATGTTCTCGCAACCGTTAGCCATTAGATCAAAGGGGGGTTGGATGGTCGAATGGTTAGCACGTGCGCGCTGAATCATTGAGTCTGTCGTTGTTTCGATTCCCCGGTTGTACGTGACAAGAAGTAGGGTCGCCTGCCAAACCTCATGGCTTTTCTCCGGGTCCTCCGGTTTCCTCCCACTGCTAAAGACCCCTATGAGCAAGCGAATTATTGAAATGAAATTGAACCATTTGTTAGTTCTGAAATGAACTAGTTTGTGTTGAGAGGACATTAAACCCCATTTCTCTCTCTCTCTCTCCATTAGATCAATATGTCACTTGAGAAGACAGACTGCCAGTTAAAGACACCCTTACATTTTTCTCCTGTGGGTTCCCCATGGGTGTTTTTTATTTTTAGTAAATTGAGTAGTTTTCTTTTAAGATTGGGTCTCTATTTTCATTAAATACCAAATCTACTGTACTTTTATTGGAAATAGCTACCTGTTAAATACTTTTGTGGGAATGTATCTTTAAGTAACGTATTATATTACAGTTACCATTACGAGTATATGTACCAATAATCTACCAATATATTTAACAGTAAGCTATAAGTGATGTGACGTAAAAACTTTGGCATTCATGTGTGTAAAATGTATTTTTTTAGAGCACTCAATACCATGTTTTTCTGGCAAAAATCCTCATGATGGTTTTATTTTGATGTGTGCAAAGTGTGTGTTGGTTTTTTTAGAGCACTCAGTAGCATGTTTTTCTGGCAAAAATCGTCATGATGCTTTTATTTTGATGTTTTCTGCCTTGGGCTGCTATCTAGATGAGAGATAAGAAAGTCTTTTAGAATCTCATTAGCTTAACTTCAAACTGTTGTATAAATACATTTTTTCCACGCCAAAAAACAATATATTAATGTAAGTTCATCTAGTCCAAGGAATTATTCAACTTCTCCAATAACTCTTTTTAGGTATAATCAGAAAAAATTGATTAAGTACTTGTTAATATAAGGCTTTAGATAATTACGGTCTGTTTAACATAGGAGTGCCAAACTGCAATACCAGAAATAATGATAACATTTGTTTATTCTCAATCTTCAATGACTCAAGGCATGCATGACCATTACTTCAAAGCATGTAAACCAGCTACATGTGTTGGCAGGAGTGTGGATGTTAAGGTAAATGAAATGGGCTTTAAGGGCCTACTTTAATGAAGATGGGCATGCACCATGCATGTAAGGGAAAATTTGCCTACAACCTTCTCTTTGTTAAACTCCAACTGCCAAGGATCCTTTTTTGTGCATGCCAATTTCTACAGGAGAGCTCTGGCCCCAGTTTCACAAAGCATTTTCAGACTTAAGAATTTACTCAACTTTCAATAACTGTTTATAAGAAATATCTTTGATCCCGAAACACAAAACTTTGCACATAGTTTCTTATTGATGTATTTGATACATGAAAACAACAAAAGTTGTACAAAGGGCTATATTTTTAGTTAAAATAAGGCAAACAATTTTGAGTAAATTCTTAACTTAAGGGAGAGGGGTTTTACATAGGCTAAGCCGGCCTGTTCCCCAATCCCATTCAGACATCCTGAATAAAAATATTGTTTATAAAAAAAAAACCCAAAATGTTTTGTGAAACTGGGGCTTGGTTTTTCATCACATTTGAATAACTAGACTCTGATCCGTAGAAACTTTCTTAGCCAACACTGGGATCAAACACGTAAGATCTCATAATAGTAATAATAAATCTTTCATAATGATAAATCTTACAAGATAACATCAGTTGTCAAAAACATGAGTGATAATAATGTAATTGAATGTTACTTAAGTTAGATACGTGTGGATACGGACAAAACAGCATGTATGAATTTGATCCTTTAGCACATGGACCACTCCTTAACTAGGGCTCCTAGACCACTCCCAAACCACAGTCACATGAATAACTATGGTACTCCCAAAAACTAGTATATTTTCATACAATACAGAGAGAGAAATGAAAATGAAATGAAATGGGGTTTAACGTCCTACTGTTCTGCTCCGAACTGGGCTAATGAAGATGGGCATACGCCATACAGTGTGCTATGAGGGAAATTTTGCCCGGACAGCGGCACTATGACCTACTCTTGTATCGAATTTCAACTGCCAAGGGATCTTTTACGTGCACGTCAATTTGTACACGGGACCTCGGTTTTTTGTCCCATCCGAACGACTAGACAGCTGTCCTTTTCAGGCCCTCTGTCCTGCATCACTGACAAGGGGGAACCACGCTGGAAAATCTGGATGAACTTTCTCCGCCAATGCAGGGATCGAACACCCGACCTCCAGGCTAGCGAGCTAGCGTCCTACCCACTTAGCCACGTGATCCCCCCTCAAGCCTTTTAAGGAGATCTAAGGAACAGCAGATTCAAATAGTTATAATGGTATGAACTATGTCACTTTTTTCTTATTTTTATTCAAGGAACATGGGTAGTCAGTATTTACATTTGTACATGTACATGTAGCAAGTGCCTAAGTGTTAATGTCATATATCATCTTACTAAGCTGTAGTGTTATTCCTCTTGTATATATGAAGGCATCCAACTATTTTCTATCTGATAATCTGTATGATAATCAACACCATCACATGTGTGAAAGAGATAATAGAAGCAATGCACAGGGTGCTATAATATTATCCAAAAATCAGGACAAACCTAAAGCTGTAGGCTACTTGAACAAAAAAATAATATCAAGATGAAAGCAAAGCTCTGGGTTATATAACAGATTTGGCATTTTCTTCCATTTATCACTAGGAAATGTCAAATCGTTCATTAAAAACCAAAACTCTACAAGGTTTTTTCGTAGATTTGACATCTTTTTCGGTTTATGACCGGAAGTGTCCAAACTTTCCTCTGTTATTCAAAATGTTGTTATTTAATCTTTTTAGTTCAAGTTCTTATTTATATAAAGCAAGTAATGATAAATGGAACTTTTACGATGTAATGACGATGGGTTGAGTTGTCTAAGATTTGACAGAGGGGGTAATTGTCTGATGTAATATGTATGCCGCTCACACAATTACCAGATAACATCATATCTGTCTAGTTGAACCATTTGTGATGGAAGTTGTCTTTGATTTGATGGGATGAATATTCCATGTTTAACCGAGTAAAGTCTCATTGATTGTCTATGCTAATGTAATGAATGTATAATAAGAAAGATAGTGAACTGAGTCACAAATAGAAGAATTACATGTCTTAAATAGAATAATATACCAAGATCAAGCTTTCATAGGCATTTGTCATTTTAGGATATTTTTTCTTGTATTAAAGAGTGGGTGTAACTGAAAGTCAGGTTTTTTATACACCCACGTGAAAATTGGCCTCATCTTATCAACACTCTACAGACTACATTTATCAACACTGATCGATCAGCAGTTAATTTTCGCTAGGCCGCTACAATCACTGATAAGGATGGCATTGATGCGACTTAATGAGCCAGAAATATTAACTTTTTTCCTGCGACAAATTAAATTCTAAAACATTTTTTTATGTATTGGAAAAATAAATAAAGGTGTTGGACTTATTTGTAGGTAAAAATTATTTCCTATTTAGTGTAAATGGGTATTAAAATGACTAAAAGGCAGAATTCCGCCCGAAGCAGTAACGTCTTATGTAAACAATGCACGCGCCATTCAACCAATGATTAACCCTGCGTGCTGTTACGGCACGTGTTAAGGCAGCCATCTTTGACAGAGATATTACTACTCGTAATTTTCTGTGAAACAGATTGACATTTATCAACTCATTTTTTTTTTCAAATTTATATATTTTATTAACAAAAGAAGCCTATGGATTTCAATGATTTCTAATTGTGACTTCTGGTGTTATTACCCTTGATCATTTTGCAGAATCTTGTGAGCTCTAATGAAAGTAATCATCTGATTTGTTTGGAATTTATGTGCTTTATTCAAATTAGTGCAAAGAAGAATCCTTTTGATTGAACATTGGGACCTCCAGGTTAGCGAGCCAATGTCCTAATCGCTGACAATGGCTCCTCTTGTGTATAATAAGGGTTTCTCTAAAAATAAAGATTTCTCTAAATTGTTTTAGTGAAACATTCCTTTATATAAATTGATCTGTTCTTTTTTTCCAGCATTGTTAACATTTATCAACGTGGCAAGTGTCAAGTTAGCTACCAGAGTTCAAGATTTTTTTACACTAGCCAAATTATTTGCGCTTGTCTTCATTATTATAGCTGGATTAGTTAAAATAGCACAAGGTAAGTTAAAAAGATAATACAAATTATCTCCCTTTAACTGAAGTAAGAATCTCTTTGTATCTTCAGTGATTGAGAAAAGTTTAAAATATTTTGAATTTCTATGTTCAAAACTTTAGCTATATCTGCATCCCGGATATATTTTAATGAATGATATGGGTTAATCCTGTGTGGAAACGTTTATCCGTTTCCTTATGTGGATCCCATTTTAGGCATCTCCAGCATCAAATTCACATGATTAAAAAAAATAAAAAAATAGATAAAGTGATGCCCAATCTACTGTCTCTGGACCTGGCTGAAGAAACTTTCTAAAACTACAGACAATAATATTATCTAAATGAACTGTCGTTTGTTTACAGGTGAAACTGAATATTTTCAAGATGCTTTTCAAGGTACATCAACGAATGTAGGCAGTATATCGCTGGCTTTTTATTCAGGATTATTTGCTTATGCAGGCTGGTAAGACTTCAGTACATATACTTTTTATGATTAGAGATATATTTTTTATAGTGCTTATGTAACAAGATTTTAGTACATCGTAATATAACTAAAATGATCCATTGCCTTTTATAGCACTTATGTAATTACTAGATATATATCTTTATATTTCATACCAACTAGATATCCCTATCTTCAATACAACTAGATATATATCCTTATCGTCAATGCAACTAGATATATATATGCTTATCTTTTTATAATATAACTAGATACATATTTTAATATAATTATATCCTTATCTTTAATATAACTAGATATATATACTTATATTTAATATAACTAGATATATATCCTTATATTTTATATAACTAGATATATGTGTAGAGTTATGGCTCTTGTTTCACTTTGTTAAACCCTATAAACACTCTTAACGACAAGTTATCATTTGATCTGTGTGAAATTTAAGTGCATTATTTACATTAGTGAAACAAAGAATCCTATTGAATTTCAGCAATTTCCATTAATTATGTCTAGAGTTATGGCCCTTGTTTCACTTGAATGCTCTAATGACAAAAGTTATATGATCTGTATAAAATTTATATATGCATTATTTAAATTAGTGAAATGAAGATGTCTATTGAATTTCAGAAATTTCTGTTAATTGCTGCTAGAGTTATGGCCCTTGTTTCACATTGTCGATCCTTGTGAATAATCTAACTACAAAAGTTTTCATCAATTTCTTCTAGAGTTATGACCCTTGTTTTAATGTGTTGAACATAGTAAACGCTCCAACGACAAAAGTCATCATCCGATTTGTATGAAATTTATATGCATTATTTAAATTAGTAAAACGAAAAAACGCTGATGAATTTCAACAATTTTTGTATATTACTTGCAGAGTTAAGGCCCTTGTTTCAGTTTGTAGCACCTTGTGAATCCTCAAAGGACGAAAATTATAATCTGATCTGTACGAAATTGTCTTGTAAATTCCCTCCGTTACTTTCAAAAGATTAAATATGCGACATCCCTTGTTGACCCCTCGAACGATTTAGATGCCATGGACATGTGTTTCATTGCCTCGCAACCTTTTTTTTTTAAGACAACTATATATATATTTCTTTATCTTTAATATAACTAGATTTATATCCTTATCTTTTACAGGAATTTTTTGAATTTTGTGACAGAAGAATTGATTAATCCATATGTGTAAGTTTTAAAAACTTTTACAAACATCATTTTTGTGGGCAGTGTGTCCATAATATACTGCCTTTATCTGAACCTTTCACAGGATAGGGAAAGGTGAGCCATAAAATCCTTGATTCAACCACTCAAATTTTCACTTGTCAGAGAATGGCACCAGAGAAATTGAGTCGACCCCCGTACACATTGTCATATAAGTTAAAGAACTCTTGACTGTCAAAATTTAAAGAAAGGGTACATGTAGGTGGAAATGCTTGTGTATGTAATTGTAATATGCAGTCTTTTTAACAAAAATCTTTTTTGCTGTATCACCCGATCTGTTAACTTCATGAGCTTAGTGAGTAAGACTCATGCTCACTAATCAGAAGGTCCTGGACGCAGTTCTGGTATTGTCTAAGAATGATCTCTCAACTTCATAGGCTAAGTGAGTATGGCACTGGCTACTAATCAGGAGGTCCCAGGGCCAGTTCTGATGTTGTCTAAGAATGTTCCACTTGATTTCCAGCTTCATTTCCCCTTTTCAGCAATGCCGGATGGAGGTCTTGGCAAGGATACATATATAGTTCTTTAGATGGTTAGAAAATGACGGTGTTGTTTATATCATTTGTAGCATGTTAAAGACAATCTGACAATTGGAAATCAAAATAGCTAGAATGTGCTGAGTTTGTAGCCCAGGATTAGATTTTTCAAGTCTGGTTCCCAATCGTCGGGGGTAGCTCCTGCAGGGCTGAAAAGTTGCCTAGTAGGTCAAAGCACTAGACTCTCGGCTAGAATGTCCCGACATCAAATCATGACATGGGCCGAGAAGAAACTCCATTCCATTCCTTTCAATTTGATTCGATTCGATTCGATTCGATTCCTTTCCATTCCATTCCATTCCATTCCATTCCATTCCATTTGATTCTTTTCAATTCCATTTGATTCCTTTAAATTCCATTCCATTCCAGTTTATTCCTTTTGATTCCATTCCTTTTTATTCGATTCCCTTTGATTCCTGTCCTTTCCATTCCATCCCATTCCATTCCTTTCCATTCCATTCCATTCCATTCCATTCCATTCCATTCCATTCCATTCCTTTCATTTCCATTCCATTCCTTTCCTTTCCATACCATACCATACCAAACCATTGAATTCCATTTCTTTCCATTCCATTCCATTCCATTCCATTAGATTTCATTCCATTTCATTCCTTTCGATTCCATTTCATTCCTTTCCTTTTAGATTTTACACTGATAATAATTTTGTACGGTTTATATTTTCAGGAATTTGCCACGTGCTATCTATATTTCTATACCTATTGTAACTATAGTATATGTAATGGCTAATATAGCTTACTTTAGTGTTGTTTCACCCTCCGCCATGATTGCTTCTAATGCTGTAGCCGTGGTATGTATATTATTCAAATTTCTTCAGGGTTACTTCAAAGTTCTCTTAGGAATTCTTTAGTTTTTATAATCATAGTGATTTCAGTCACCGTTGAATTAAAATACTGAAGATTCTTAACTTTGTGCCGGAAATATGTTAAAAATACTCATATAATCTGTGCCGCCCGTTATGACAGGCACCAGGAGGATTTGTACTTGAGAAAGTCTGAGTTGTGCCTGACATTATCTGTGACAGTTGCTTTATTTCCAGGCTTAATTGACATATAAGAGGTCTTTTAATGTTGTTATGGAGATTAAAGAGAGATAACTCATTTGTATGGTTTAGGACTTAAGACTGGTAATTTTCTCCCTGTTGTCTTCAATGACATTTCCATGGCCTATTATAACATTTTTTAGCATTCTGATCTTAATTTTTATAACCACAAAGTGACCAACATATAGCAATCAGCTATTTATCATGAAATAAGGGGGAGACAATTACTAGTCTGGGTTTATTAAAGGACAATATAATTCGAAGGAATTATAAGTGAGCAGAAATTTGGCCATGTATCTGTTATCACTCGTCACATCAGTCAGTTATATAGAGGGATGACTTGTGTTTTCCTTTGGCGTTCGTCACTTCCGATTCAGGAAACCTGTATTACTCAGCTATCGTAGCAATGATCTCTGTGTTAAAATTATATTTGAAATGTGTTTAACCAGCTCTATCACATATATGATAATGACTGGCACCAATATTGTCCTTTAAATAAATGCTTATATTATGGTCATGGTGGTTATAAAAGTAGATTAAATTTAGATTATAAATTTGTTAGATTAATAACATTAAAAAATCACCCCCATTTTTGTATGCTAATTTAATATTGCAGACATTTGGAGAGAGAATCCATTCTTCATTAAGATACATTATACCAATATTTGTAGCCCTGTCTACATTTGGAGGTGTAAATGGTTTACTATTTACCTCAGGAAGGTAAGATTTTTTAAAAAAAAATATTAAATAGCAATGGGTTTTTGTAAGTCAGTGGTTATATATATGAAAAATATATTTGAATTTTGCGAAATAAAATCTTTTTAAGTCATAGACGGCATACAACTGTAGACACAGACTATTCATAGAAACATGACTCAAACTAAATAAAGAAAACCACGGCTAAGAAATTACCAGTAGACACCAGTGAATACTTTATTAGGATCACATGGTTTTTTTTTTGATTTTCTTAGTGTGCCGTTCAGATTTTCATGGCACACTGCTTGAGAATCACTGATGTAAGTCATCAATTTTTCATGTATTTGTCATCAATTTTTAATTAGTCCATACAAAAAATATTCTGGTTCTCAAACAATCCTTATTTTGTCAAAGGATCACTACTTGGCTAAATGACTTGTTTGTATACACATCAAATTGTTGTTTATAGGAATGTATGATTATCCAGTCTTATTTATGATTGTCATCAGAGTTGTGTACTTGATAAATGAGACTATGGATTCATTCAAAATTTTTTATAGATTTATTTAATGTAAAGGAGTTAAAATATTTATGTGCGGTAATTAATTAGCCTTTATTTATTTTTTGAAATGAAAACAGGCATGCAGCACTTTTAAAGCCAGGCAACATTATCTGAGAATCAGAATATATTTTTTATATGGCTTTATACTAATTGTTAAAGATGGATATTATTAATTTATGTATTCTAACAGTTGAAATTTTAGTACTAGAATACTGGTAATGTCCATTGGTTATTACTGTATAATGTTACTTACTGTAAAGAGACGTTTTTGAGTTGCCAATTTTATGCATGGTTATTGCCCCTGAAAACTTACATGGTAATGAATTAGAAGGCAAACAACTGTATGTGACAAGGGGTATGGTTTGTTTGTGACAAGGAGTAAGGGGACAAGTCCAACCTCAGGGTTTGTCACTGCCATTGCTAAATGGCCTATGCTCAAGAAAATTATTGAAATAAAATTGTAACATTTTAGTCCCGAAATGACCAGGTTTGTGTCGAGTGAAAGTAAAACCCCATTTCTCTCACTCTCTCTTTTCAGGTTGTTTTTTGTGGGAGCAAGAGAAGGTCATTTACCAGAGATCGTTTCTATGATTCAAATCCAGAGATATTCACCGCTACCTGCCATGTTGTTTACGGTAAGATCCATATATTCACCATACAAACTTTTTCCAAAGTCCATTTATACAAAGGGTGACTTGCTGTTCAGGTACTTACAAGTCTAAGCACCTTCTCCTGACAAGGACAGCTGTCTAGTCCTTCGGATGATACAGAAAACTGAGGTCCCGTGTATACATTCGAATGCACGTAAAAGATCCCTTGGCAGTTGGAATTCGATATAAGAGTAGGCGATAGTGCCGCTGCCCGGGCAAAATTTCCCTCATAGCACACTGTATGGCATATGCCCGTCTTCATTAGCCCAGTATAGGAGCAGAACAGTAGGACGTTAAATCCCATTTCATTTCATTTCTAAGCACCTTCTGGTTGCCGTAATGTTGACTAGTATTTAAATGAATTAGGAATAGATTTGACTTAAGAAGATCAGTGACATTCATTATTGATAAACACTGTTTAAAACTGGTAATGTTCACTTATGGACCAGTTGGAGTCATGGGGGGCTTAATTGGTCAGTAAGGAGCTGCCTCTTTAACCAGGAGGTTTGGAGTTCACTTCCGGGTTGGCCAACAATGTTCCTTGGTATTGTTCAGCGTGACTTCCATGTCAAAGGGCTGTTCGAGCAAAATGTTCCTCATAGCACACTGCTTGTATATGCGCCAGTTGGTGCTGAAAAGCTTGATTGCATTTCCACCAGTTTGTAGAAGTCAGCGGATTGCCACTGGCTACATTAGCATGGGCGTGGATTTGGGGGGGGGGGACAAATAGGTCTCTGCCCCCGTCCCATGATTTTGATCGCCAGGACAGATTTCAGGTCCTGTTCTGAAGGCTATCTAACCACTGCCTTGGGTCTCGCCACAGTTATTGTGATCTTCAGGATATCTTTCTCCTTAATTGTACGTAGTCAATTTTTACATATCATCATCATATTACCCCTAGTTACAGCTTTCATCGAAATAACACTGGTACAGTAAACTGTTCGTAATTATTATTTTGGTTTGGTAATGAAATGTTCAAGGGTTCCAGGGTTCGTCCACCCCCCCCCCCCCCCTCCCCAAAAAAGTTAAGACAAATCCACGCCCTTGTTTGTACATTAGTACTGTAAATAAATATATTTTATGAAATATGTTTTTCAGGGTACTATGTCAGTGTTGATGTTAATATCTAAAGATATATATTCATTGATCAATTATATGAGTTTTGTACAATGGTTGTCTGTTGGTGCGTCTATATTTGGTATGTTATATCTGAGAAGAGCTAAACCTAACATGGACCGGCCAATAGTTGTAAGTATCAAACAGTATATTTGATAATTACAATTTGTTTTTTTTATCTTATGTCAAGTGCCATGGTTTCATTCCTACACTTGTACATATTAGGAGTAGGGTCGTCAACACAACTCTGTAGGTTTTCTCTGGGACCTCTATGCGCAAGTGAATTATTGAAATAAAATTGACCAAATTTGTTTGTGTCTAGTGGTTGTTTGAGCTCTAGAAATTATTTTGTGCCTTTGAGATCCTCAAATGTAAAGTTCAAAGGTCAATTGATATGGACATTGCTAAAGGAAACTTTTTGCATCAGCAGTACCCGTCAGATGCCTGGATGTTTTAATCTTTTCCAAACACTGCTATAATATAGAAAGTAGGACCACCCTATAACCAGACACTAAAACTAACACACAATGTTTTTATCACAAAATATAGTCCAAACAGTTATGTTTTATTTTGTTAATGCTTAAGTTTACAGGATTTGCTTATTGGATCTTTTAACTGACAAATTTTTATGTCTAAAGGGATATAACTCCTGTACTCAGACCGTCTCAGACCACTAGTACCGGTAATAAACACCCTCTACATGTTATGTATATGGTCCGCGGAACAACTGCAGATGATTGGCCATTCCTTCTTCTCTTTATATCATTTGTTCAGGCAATATTGTACTCTTTAACTTTCACATATTTTTTTCTAATTTCAGATGCCTACCATTATACCTGTAGCATTTCTTATAGTTGTAGTGTTTTTACTTATAATACCTTTATATGCCGCACCTAAAGATACTCTTATGGGAGTACTAATTGTTTGTACAGGTATCCCTGTCTATGTAATAGGTGTAATGTGGAAAAAGAAACCAAAGATTTTTACAGATTTAGTCAGTAAGTTTATTGTAATACAATAATTATCTAATCCTCCAGTTTGTACACTCTATTGTAATACTGCTTCCAACTGTTGTATAACGTGTAGTGATAAACTAAATTATTATCAATACGTTTTTCTCCATCATTATTATACCAGTATAATAAGTAGCCCATCACTACAATGCCCCAATAAGTAACAAGGGCGAAATAAGTTAAGACACCAAGTAAAAATTGAAATTTGTTGGTGAAGTGTACACTTTTTTGCATTTTTAAAATCTCCCAGTTAATATGCACATTTCTGTCTAAGCTGTGTATCTCTACGCCAATTAGAACTGTTGTGGGTAGTGGGTATCATGAGTCCAAATGTTGTATCTTGATTTATGGAAATTTTGAAGGTTCTATTTCTTAATCTTTAGAAATTCTTAGATACAACCTTTTTACACTTCACCGACGAATTACTATCAACTTAAACAGAGTTACTTCCCTTCTGGTATAGAGCAATATCAAAATTGGAGGCATATGGTTTTCACAGCTGTGACAGGTAGAGTGGTCTCGCTGTAGTGGTCTATCACATCTCAAATAACCTATTGCCAGCTATCACTCAAGACAACCATTTGATCCATGCATAGAAAGCACAGTTTGCTTGTAAAGATGATCTTTTGTGCTTATATAATCTATATTTATCTTGCATGAATGGCAACTGCTAGTGCTAAGTCTATCAGAATTGTAATCATATACAGCAGACAAGGCAGGGGTGGATCCAGGAATTTTTGCTGGAGGGGGTTTGCCAGGTTCCTGTTAAGGAAATTTGACAGTTGACAATACATGATGCCATCATTGTCTCCAAATTACACAGGCATACAAACACACTGAGCTTTTTAAAGAGAGAAATCCAACACCACGTTTGACATCAATTTATATAATGAATTAATAGGATCACATTGTGATTTAATTTCATTGATGCAAAGCATTAATTGTGATATCACATATGTCTATTTCTTTATCTTGCACTTTGGATGTCCCTCCCATCCATCCATCTGATGATAAAGGATAAATCACACGACCGTGACACTTTTCTCATGAAAGTGTTGTTTTACAATTTATTTTATGTAGCTGAGCGGGGTGTCGTTCAGACCCCCACCGCCCACCCCACACTCTGGATCTGCCCCTGCAAGGGGGCAAACAAAATATGTTGATAATAAGTAAGATAAATAAAATAAAAAAATATAGTGATAAATCCATAAACCAATATATGCAAGAAAATTATACGCCCACATTTAAATGTGTTCGTATATTGTCGTCGCCCCCGTCCGTCCGTCAATTGCTTGTGGACGCTCTAAAGGCCAAAGTTAATATCCGATTGACTTTAAATTTATACACAGTGTTTAAGGTTATGAGACGAAGAAGCCTTTTGATTTTTAGCAATTTCCGATAATTACTGCCAGAGTTATGGCCCTTAATCACTTTGAAAAATCTTGTGGACGCTCTAGAGGTCAAAGTTAATATCCGATTGACGAAGAAGCCTATTGATTTTCAGCGATTTCCGATAATTACTGCCAGAGTTATGGCCCTTAATCACTTTGAAAAATCTGATTACTGCCAGAGTTATGGCCCTTGATCACTTCAAAAAATCTTGTGGACACTCTACACGCCAAAATTAATATCCGATTGGCTTTAAATTCATACACAGTGTTTAAGGTCATACGACGAAGAAGCCTATTGATTTTTAGTAATTTCCGATAATTTGGCCCTTGATCACTTCAAAAAATCTTGTGGACGCTCTAGAGGTCAAAGTTAATATCCGATTGACTTTAAATTTATACACAGTGTTTAAGGTCATGAGACGAAGAAGCCTTTTGATTTTCAGCGATTTCCGATAATTACTGCCAGAGTTATGGCCCTTGATCACTTTGAAAAATCTTGTGGACGCTCTAGAGGCCAAAGTTAATATCCGATTGACTTTATATTTATAATCAGATTTTAGTGTATTATAAATGTTTCATTACCGAAAATTAAAAATATGCGACAACTCTTGTTGACTGCCCGGACGATTTAGCTGCTGTGGCGTATGTTTTGTTGCCTGGCAACCTATCTTTATGTACGTTATAGATGTGAATGTTTGAATTGTAAAGTGCCGTCTGAACACTATTGTGAATGATGCGCTAGTTTGTTACAAAAAAATAATAAATAATATTTCTTCATTACAGATGACTTAACAAAGAAGAGTCAAAAGTTATTTTTAGTCGCTAATGAAGAACAGACGAAACAGAGTTGAGGATATTTCAAGTTAAATTTTATTACGCATCCGACTGTAGATCTCATTATCATCTTCATTACTTATATTTTACATGGCATTCTTTCATTTGTTTTAATAGTAGGAAAATGTGGAAGCTCAATTGTTAATGGATGTTTTTTGAACATGAATATATTAAAGGTGCATTATGTAAGAGGGGGTTGGATGGCCGAATGGTTAGCACGCGCGCTGTATCATACAGCCTTTCATTGAGTCAACTGGCGTGGTTTCGATTCCCCGGTTGTACGTGACAAGGAGTAGGGTCGTCTGTCCAACCTCATGGGTTGTCACCAGGTCCTCCGGTCTCCTCCCACTGCTAAAGACCCCTACGCGCAAGCGAATTGTTGAAATAAAATTAAACCATACGTTAGTCCCGAAATGGCCTAGTTTGTGTCAAGTGGACGTTAAACCCCATTTCTCTCTCTCTCTCTCTCTCTCTCTCTCTTAAGTTTTGAAATTTTTGAACAAAACATCTTTCACAGGATTCAAGAGGCTATATATTTATCAAGACATTAAAGAATAGAAAATCAAATTGTTTTGGCCTTTGATGTTTAATTCTAGCGATATTTCCACAAGGGTTCTCTCATCCTTCTCAAGCAAAGGAATACACATCCAAGGAACTTGTACATCTTATACTGGGGTTGGTGGACTGAGTACAGTCATCTGATTTCCTCCCATGCCTAGAGACACCTACGTGCAAGTGAATTATTGAAATAAAATGTCTTTCGTTTTATTGTTTTTCCTTCCATTATAATGCAGTGGGACATAATTTAAAAAAACAATCTGAAATAATGACTATCCATGTAAAGGATGTTTGTCACAAGTGCTAAGAACCGTTGCTTCACCTCTGCTCGGTACCGGGAAATGTTTCATCAAGACGAATGATGCTTTGTAATATTAAAGCATTTGTATAGGCTGAAGTTATGACTATTTTTGCTCTAGGCATTGAGAACACTTGCTACACCACTGCCCAGTGCATGCCTGAAACTTATCATATAATCAGTGCTGTGTTGCCTTTAGTGATCTTTCAATCATAAATTATATTTTCATTGACACTTGTTGAGGCATTAGGGGCCTTATTCATGGATATCTAAAGTATTTTAACAATGCAGCGTTTTCATTGGCTAAAAACTGAAATCTGTACTAGGATTTTGACATTCAACCAATGGCATTAGTGAATTCTTAAAATATTAACATTTTTGTGAATAAGGCCCCAGGTGTATTTCATTGATATTTTGTGGTAGTTAAAAGCTAGGATATGGGTTATTGTTTACAATACAGTTATATATATGTTTATATTATATATGAATATATACACTTATATATATATTTATTTTTTATTGATATACAAACTACAATATAGTAGTTAATAGCTATGTCACTTATGTAATCATCATGTCTGGAAAAAATGACTGTAGTTGTACCGACAACATGTCAGGCTCTAATGAACTAGTATCTGACATTTTGAACTTTGTGCCCGACATGTATTCAAAATATCAACAAAAACACTAAAAACAATTACAAATCTGTGCTGGACATAATGGCAGACATCTGAGGGATTTGTCTGACAATGTCGGTGACCGGTGCCTTATTTCCAGACTTGGTAGTCATGTAATGGCATAGTCTATATATAAGGCACAAATTTTATTACATTTTACCATTTTAATACCATACAATCATATACTGCTTTGAAATAAATATCTGCTCAATTTTCTTGAATATGTTCATAAGAAATGTCAAATATTATTTAAAGGAATAATCATATTTACTTGAAAGAATGGTCATATTTATTTCAAGTAATTACCATATTTACATTAAGTAAATAGTAATTACCATATTTCCTTCAAATAATTAGCATATTTCCTTCAAGTAATTACCATATTTACATCAAGTAATTACCATATTTAAATCAAGTAATTACCATATTTACTTAAAGTAATTACTGTATTTACATCAAGTAATTGCCGTATTTACTTAAAGTAATTACTGTATTTACATAAGTAATCACTTATTTACTGAAAGTAATTACTGTATTTACTTCAAGTAATTGCCGTATTTACATCAGTTATTGCCATATTTACTTCAAGTAATTGCCATATTTACTTCAAGTAATCGTCGTATTTACTTTAAGTAATTACCGCATTTACTTTAAGTAATTACCGCATTTACTTTAAGTAATTACCGCATTTACTTCAATTAAATACCGTATTTACTTGTTGATTATTTGTCAAAGTTCAATAAATGACCCGTCTCGCTATTAGGCCAAATCACTTTAATTCATTTAATAAATAGCCCATCTATTTATAGTCGGTTAGCCATTGTGTGCTTCCCATTTTGGATATCCTGCACACGCCACTGTTCCCCGTGAGTTCCTTCTTAAGGAATTTAATATTTAAATAAACTGAAAAAGATTTAGGCTTCCAAGTTACAATGATTTCGATCCATTGATTGACTATATCTGACGATCTAGGAGTAGGGTCGTCTGACTAAACCTGAGAGTCCCCCCCCCCCCACCTTTGTTAAAGATACATATACATTAGTCCCGAAATGACGAAGTTGTGTTGTGTTGACGTTCAACACCATTTCTCTGTGTTGGTTTGATTGAATCTCAATGTTATGTTATATTGTGCTGATTGTGTGTTTATCCAAATAAAACGACTGCCTCTCTTACTTTGTTTTATTTTAATTGCTTTGTTGTCCAATCTTAAATTTGTTTTAATATCAGGGACGTAGCAGTACAGCAATCATGCTTGTGCATCATCATTGACACGTTATACACAAACATGTAGTCAATGATCCCCCCTCCCCACACACTCAATAAAGTTTAACCAATGGAGCCCCTACCCCAAGAGTGTAGCTGAGTAACTGGAAATCTACAACCACACGATCACATAAAAGTGACGTGTGCATGAAGTCAGTGTGGTTATGTATACACTATACACTTATTTCACAACTGTAGCAATACATATAGTTATTTGATCGCAATCGGAACAGCAGAATCTGACTTAAAATATTCTATCACAATTGAACATTTTGGGCTGGGTGGGGGGGGGGGGGGGTGTCATGTCTCAAATGGGACAAACTTTATTACAAAATCAGCATAACCTTTTTGTCCAACACCGGGATCGAACCCAATGCTACCTCGGTTTTTCGTTCCACTCAACGACTAGGCGCCGTCCTTTTTTTAGGCCAACACTCTGATCGAACCCCGGGCCACCTGGTTAGTGAGCCAGGACCTTACTCACTGAGCCACTGTGGCTCCCAGAACGAAATTGAACAACTTCAAAGATCAAGACCTATAAGATAGTAAGCCCCCTAAATGACACCGTACCCCATACCTTCGCTATCGTTGTATTGTACTAATACAAATTTTCTGGAAATTATCAGATTTTGAGAACTGATGCCTTTGTTGACATTTCATAACCAGTTTGGTTCTGGAATAGTTTCAGTAATTAATAATATGGTTAAACCCCAATTATTGAAAATGACACCTATGTCGAGATATACATTTTATATTGATGATATACAATCGGACCCGCTAAATGCATAATTTCGCAGATTTTGAACTGATAATTATCGATAGGGAACGAAAGGTTGTAGAATGATACTAATCGACAGGGTTCACCCTGACAACAAAGCTTCACACCAAATTTGATGCATACCAAAATCAAACTCATTCAAGATATTTTGTACCTTAACATATATTTTAAGTTTCACTGAAATCAGACAAAAATTGTAAGCTCTTGAAAGAGGGTCCATGATTTTCGTAGATATTTCACATTTTGCGTAAACGACAGGGGCCGTGAACCAAGAACTTCAGGTCTGATTGGCACCAAAATCGTACCCATTCAATACATTTTGGTCCTTAATGTTTCATCTGAATTGGACAAAAACAATGAGATCCCTTGAGGCCCACAAAAATCCATATTTCCCATTTTTCGTAAAAGGCAGGGGTCATGGTGGCATGATGGCATGATAGCACGGTAACCCCTTGTCTTTAAAATTGGTATGACAATGCGATCAGAAATGTCACGATTTGGTTATTTGGTTAAAGTCATATTTGAAACCGACTGGTGCAGAAAAGTAGGACGGTAAACCCCCATTTCACTTCATTTCTTATCATTTCTTCTTATCAATATTTCAATTACTTTTAATATCTCACTTAATTCTTGTATCTGTCCATCAATCCTTCGAAAACAAAATCAATGACATTCTTTTAAAATTACAAAAGAGGGCAGCAAGAACTATTCTTGATGCACCAATTGAAACTCCGCCCACCTCTTTATTTACTAAACTCGGTTGGCTTACCCTTATCCAGAGGATTCTTTGTAATAAAATTGTCTTATCATTCAAAATTATTACATTTAATACTCCACTTTATCTAAATTCCTATTTTGTTGAAAAATCTATTGTTTCCAAAACGGATATCTTGCTCCGTTCACAGACCAGTAAATCTTTTTTTCTTCAAAACTGCAAAACGGAATCCATGAAACGTACTTTTCATTATTCTGCATGTCTTTTATGGAACAATCTGCCTTTTGATATAAAGATGTGTAAAAATGTTGAAAATTTTAAGATTAAAATGAAAACTCATTTATTTTCCACACTGAATGAACCATAATATTCAACTGATGACATACTTATTATTTTTAACTTGCAACTGCATTCTATCTTATTTTGTGTGTAATTATAGTGTTCTTCTTATATTCTACTTGTATAATATATATGTTTTGTAGTTTGGGAGTGACTTCCCAAACTTCCCACTTTCAAATGCTATTGCATTTCAAATGATTTTGAATTTATCCTAATATTACATGTATATATGTCTTTGCAGCTTAGGAGGGACCTATGGAAGATTAGTTTCGGTTTTTTTGCAAACTAAATACGTTGCCTCATTAAATAAAGTTATTATTATTATTATTATTATTATTATCCTTGGTGAGAAATATTCAATGCATGACAGATGCCCCATTTCAGTAGACCTGTCGGTGAAAAAATGTAAGACGTTTAAAAAAACATATTTCATTTCATTTCTACGGAAGACCACTAGGGTCAATACTATGAAAAAAAAAATTATGCTTATCTTGTTATTACAAGATAGCTATCTCGTTATTACAAGTCGAAACGAATGAAAACAAAAACTGCCAAAAATCAAAATTTATTGAAATCTTCCGAAAAATGTAAAAAGCGTTTCGGGGCTTTAAGGAGAGCATGAAATTAAAGAATCGTGATATTATAAAACGATATCAATGCGAGTATGAAGTTGATGGGAACATGAAGCTAATGAGCGCATGAACTTTATGATTTTAAGGGGACTTGAAAATAACGAATTATATTACTGGGAGCATGACATGAATGTGCCAGTTTTGCAGTAGCGGCACCAAGGGGGTGGGGGCAGAACAGTAGAACGTTAAACTCCATTTCATTTCATTTCGTTTGACACCTGCCTCTCTGTTCGGATAAGCTAGTGATTTGGCGACACAGTATCTGGTCAGCTCTATTTATCTCGACGACCGGTGTCTGAAATACTGCCAGGTTGCAGTTCCGGCAATCTATTTCTCAAAATATCGTCGCGAAAATAATCAGAATATTTTTTCTTTTATTTCATTTGATTGACCCTAGTGGTCTTCCGTACATTTCATATTTCTGATTCACTTAAACATGCATTATGCAAGAGCTAAATCTGATTATTGCAAGTCTTAATTTAGGCTTCAGATGTTATAGAAATTATAAATTAGATCTTCATTTAAACAACAAGACCAAAATCAACTCTGTAGACCCACGGATGGCTCGGCTACAGCTCGGATTTAAATAGGATTTCACCAATTGATTAAATCAGATAAGGGGTAACCTGATGAAAATACGTCAGTTAGATCGAGGCTAAATGATAGAGTGTACTTAGAGAGGCCGCTGTAAAGCGTTTCCGTATGCCATTGAAAACTTTACTTGATAATCGAGATATGTAGGTGGAGTTAACGTCTGTCAATCAAACGTTCGGCGAAGGTGAAGATACATTTCGCTACCATTTCTAGGCAAATATTACAACGATGATAACTATGTTCAGAATAAAGTAATTTGACTGAATTTTTCAATATATTATTCTTTCATCGTCTACTTTTGAACTGTTATAGCAAGAATGACCAACTCTCTATAAATATCTCCCATAATGTATCTTTAAATTTATATCCTTATCGATCTTAATTCAAATGTCTGTTTGATATTTGAACAGCCGGATGGCTAAGTATTAAATGCCTTTTAATTACATTAAGTATTAATTTGTTCAGCTGTTTCCGCGAAAATGATAAATAACACATATTATAACAGGTGATACCTATGGAAATAGCCAATGAAAATTACGCGTACAGAGTTCAAACGAAAATGGGATTCGAATATTTAACAAAATATAAACCTAAACAATCGGATAATCGACGATGACTATGTACTTAAACCCATAATGTAAATGTTAATTAAAAAATTTGACCCTGTTTGATTATTATTACATAATGGGTTGAATGTGTTTTGAAAGCGTGTATGTAAATAATACTAATTGTTGTAATAATCCCTTATTATTACTTTATTTGAACTTTTATTTCATAATGTGCATTGGGCCACTTTTTCGAGTAGTTTTGTAATATACAGCTACGTTCAAGTACAGTTTGCAGACAAACGAAGCATACAACAAACAGCAGGTAAGTTGTTCATAACAACCAGATCACAATTAAATCCTCTAATAGTAAGTGCAGGTGGACTGCACCACACACAATTTACACAAAAAACAAATACATGGACAAGACATAATACGCAGAAATCACAAACAAACGAACAATTCAAATAAACAAGGGTTCTTCCCCTCAACAGAGTATTACATCAATAATAGACATTTTTAAAAGATAGCTGTGGTTAAACCGTTCTTAAAGAAGCTCTCACTCGATCGACATATACCAGGTCATTTCGGTTCAGCTTTATTTCAATAATTCGCTTGCGCGCACGGGTTTTAGCTGTAGGAGTACACGGAGAAACCCCACAAGGTTGGAAAGGCGACCCTACTCCTTCTCACGTACAAGCGGGGAAACGAAATCACACAACTTAACTCAATGATAGACCTCGTGATTTCACACACACGCGTTAAACCACTAAAGCTAACAATAATTCAACAGCTATTCAATCATGGTAATGCAGGTAAATTGTCTAATTATATAATCAGACCACGGTAGTTTGGATGTCCTCTTTCGAATAAGAGCGGGACACACGCGATCGGGTCTGTATTTCGACCGCCATTTTGGTAGTTAGAGCTACAATCTGATTAAAATACATTTTTTATATTTCGTTTTATACTTTCGATGGACTACATTACATGAAGATCTGACCGGTTGTAGTGATAGGTCGCGTCAGAGGTCATACGAGCGGCTTTTGACCCTATGACATCAGATATTTTATTAACCAATCAGCATTGATGTTTATAGTGGATTACCCACAGTTCCGTGCATCACACGCTAAAAGCTCGCCGTAACAGACCGTTTCATTGGCTAATCCCTCACATCATCGAGAACACGTCAATGATAACAACTTTTCCAGATCCTAGTGAAGTAAAGACAAGCAAAACGAAATTTTGAACTATAAAAAACGAAACGAAATATAATCTGTGTTCTAATCAGATTGTTAGAGCTACA